TCCTTCAACATACATGTTTTTCAGAGATTGCCTCTTCATTCCTAAAATTGAAACTTTAACATTCCATGGAAATAGGAGAAAAAATGAACTGGAAGCATGTGACTGTAACAATATCACATATAGGTGGCATAATAATTGAAATTCAAATTAATAATTTCATACTTGGGATTTTTAACTCTACATTAGAGCAAAACTTGTCTTAGCCAACCCATGAAAGGATGAAAAAAATACACATCTTTAATCAGATGGCCCTTTAACAAAGGTGAAGTAGATTTCTCATGAATTAGCACAGGGAATTTTGAAAAATCTCTGGAGACAGTAATTTGCCTAACATTTGGAGAAGTTTTGTTGTACCTATTGCAGAGTTTGTTGAAGATTATATCAGATAAATTCTATTTTTATATATCTCATACTTATCAAGTACAAAGCATAGTACAAAACCTGTGATATGAAGAAGTCTCTCATTGCACTGAATCAGCCAATTCACTAAAGATACTGTTCTTTAACTACATAAAATCACTAAGTCCTAAAAATGTAAATAATTATTTTATCTAAATTTTATGAAACATATAGATGACTGTAATTATTTAATTTCAAATGTCTGAAGACTGTTGTTACTTATTTCCTTTTTAGAATACTAAAAAATCTGTGAGACTCCTTTGATCATCATATACTTATGTAATTACACAGTTCAGTTGAACAAAACCACCACAAAAACTCTTCACTATTTATAATGAGCAATCTTTAAAGTTCACCCTTCTTTTTCTACACTGGTTAGTTAAAGATTTTATCCATTTAAGTGGACAGCTTCATCATATTTTTTCTAAATATAAAGCATGAGCTATTTTCAGGCCACTCAAAGAAAGTCTCAGTGTATAATATCAAACTCTTTGATTTGTTGCTGGCATACGCATTGCAAAATGTCATCTTGTACTGTTTTTAATGGTCATGGCCAGAGAATGCTTATGATCATTACTGATTTAGATCACTGATTTCTTCACACTCAAGATCACTTCAGTATACAAAAGCAGAGAACCTCTATTGAATTTAATTTTGAAGAACAGCATCTCAGACTAAGCCTTCTCTTTCCCCTGAAAAAGTCAATCAGATTAGTAGTGTGCACTCATACAGCTCTCAATGAATATAAACTAGAAGGAAGTTGTCTATGTGCTATGCAGAATTGTACAGGCAACTCTCAGTTGTATGTGGGTGTGTAACCCAGGTTGCAGATTAGCAGTGCTATGCTAAAACAAAGCAGAAAAAAAAAGGAAAAACACCCACCATTCTTCTTTGAATTTCTGATCTCACTTTTTACTTCATGTTAACTTCATTCCTTGATAAATGTAATACACATAGGAAACTCTTATCTAATGTGGACATGCTTTGTATTACCTATGTGTTAGCTCTGTGCAGGTTAGTCTACTCCATTTATAGCTTCAATAATTGAGAGCTGACTGTGTAACTATGAAAGAGACCAGCAACCCACCTTTTTATTCAACATTTGCTAAAAACCAATTGCTTGTTGAAATACCTCCCTAACTCAACTCAAAAATCATCAGTTCCCTTTTATATAATTTTTTTAAACCCATGTGTAATAACAGCTTGCTGCAATACTGGATTCTTGTTAATATAAATAAAATGTGGACATGCTTGAAAGGCAAAGCAAGAGCAATACAAGTGAACAAACACAATGCACCTAAAAGGAGACAGAGTGGACTCCTCTGCCCCCAAGGCCTAGAGACTGACAGAAAGCCATTTTATAATAAGATTTTGTAGCTGTACCAAAAAACTTGCATTAATTGGCTAAATGTACATTTTATTTATTTAGATGGTCATTAACACCAAATACGCTTTTAAAAAATAATATGCCCTTGGGCAATGTAACAAAAACAGTGGTTTCATTATGAGGGATTTGAGAAATTTGTTTCCTGCTGTCCCCTCCCAATTCTCATTTTCCTCCGCACAGCCGAAACCGGATCTGCTTCATGACCAAAGACAAAAGATAGAGATTCCCAGTGCACTAGCCAAGTGCCCTGAGATGATGACTCCATGAGCTGCAAAACCAGCTGGAAGGAACTGGCGGTCCCTCTCTGTCCTCAGGAAGGGAACGCAGACACTGACAAACACTGGGAAGGTGTTGCAGGATCTTATCTACTGGGGAGGAGGGATGGCTGACATACTTCTCAAGGAGCAGGATAAATACAACACTCAGTATAGGAAACATTTAGTCTTGTAGAAGGATTGATGGAGAGGCTGTCAAAGGACTGGTGGGGCTAGAGAGGGCAGGAAAGCAACAGGGGCAGACAGCTTTTCCTCCAGGGAATTTGTTCTTACTCTTTTTTTGTCATCAAAAAATTAAAACCGTTAACTTCACATTACCCATGAGCATTAAAAATCAACGCAGATATAAAATAGTGTGATATTCTTTGCTATTCTGAAAAGAGTAACTACCAGCCCTGTATTCTAGCTTTGGCAATAGCTTAGCTCCTGTACTAAAATGAAAGCAAAAGGCTTTTCATATTGTGACACAACAGTGTATGAATTGGAATGAATCTTCTTGTTCCTTTGAATTTATACCTTAATACATTAGTTCTGATATGCTGAGTAGGATCAAAATGACACTGATGACAAAAACTGCAAGCACTGCTTTAATTCATGCATACATATAGTTCTTGTAGGAATCTCTCTAAACTACTTGACATTCTGTGCCAGTGAGTTCCATTGAGTAATAACTTTGCATAAAACGTTACTTCATATGTTGGCTTTTAATTTCACTGAACATCCCCTTGTCCTTTTAATGCTGGAGAAAAATAAAATACTTCTGTCACAAGACTTCTTACTGGAACAATTATAAAAATTCACTAAAGAAAAAGTACCTGTCCTCTGTCAGGTAGTAATACAGTTGCGTATTTTCATATAGCCAAAGGAATTATATTCATATCAAAAGAAAAACATTTATCAAAATATTTGCTTTCAGACTTATTTACTGTTTATTATTTTAATTTACATCAGTTACTGCTTGCAAAACTTCCAGGGAAATATTTTTAATTTTTTTTCTCTTTTCCCACTGCATAGTAAATACAGCCTTCTTAGTATTTCAGAAGCATAGCACTATAGAAATGTTAGGGCCTGCTTCTGCTACGAATGAAGTTAATGGGAAAACACCAACTGACTTTATTAGGAGTTAGGTCAGGCCCCAGATTTGCAGCTTTTGAAATTTTGTAGTTGAAAATTTTCTGGCTAATCCTCAGAACTGACTACTTCTACAACTATAACATTATTTACAACTTTATTTATATGTACTTCTTTATTACAATATGTAATATCTATGTTCCTTGTAAAGGTTACTATTTTATAGAAATTAGACTGAAGTTATTGCCAATCAACCTTTTAATAAACTTAAGTGGGATGACTTTCAGAATTTTTCTCAACATACAATTCAGGTTTTATTCCTTCTTGCTCTCTCTGAAAACTGCTTAACTACCTTAATTTCAAAGCCTTTTTCAGTGTAATAAAAATGTCCTTTTGGTAAAAGTTTATTGGTCCCATTTCAAATTACGTTCTAAAACATTCTTATACTGATGAGGACTCATTATTTTAGCAATTTTTCTGTTTCAACACAGTATATAAAGCCATGCCTCTCAACCAATCAACCTCAGTATAAAAGTGTATGTGAGGTCAAACAGATTGCTCATCAAATTTTTGATCAAGTTGTCTGATCACATATAGACACAACTGTCTGAATTGTTGCATATGTTGTATAATGTTATCATACAAATTTAAGTATTTCCATTATTGACTGCTGCTTGTGTCTTTATATATTAACTTGCTGGTCATAAAACTGCAACAAAGGACAAGATATACCAATACTGAATTAAGACCTCTAGTTTTGCCTCTCCCAAAATTAAGAAAAATCTGTGTTTTTATGATTGACCAACTCATGATGTTGTGCTTCAAATATACACATATTCCAAAATTAAACTGTGAAGCTAATGTTAAATACTGTGTTGTAACTTTAAATATAACTGACATATTAGAACAGATAGATGGGTAATTATGATAAACTACACAATAGTGCTACTGTAGATAATATAATTTATCAATCCTGTGGTCCCCACCATTCATGCATTTACAGTTTGGGAATACAGTGACTGCAAAGGATAATAATTCATAATGGCTACATTCTCAGTACTTCATGCTAGCTCACTAGACAAAATAAAAAAGGTTAATTGTATAACTGGAAAAATGTAAAATTTTATTCCAAGAAAATTAACAAGCTACACAGGTAAATTTTGGCAAATGCAACTTTATATTGAAATCCACACATCTGTATCTGAAAGAAGGAAAGACTCACAGACTCTAATGTATTTCTAAAACACTAAGAAATCATAGTATATGCTTTCACAAGTTAAAACTTAAATAATTTAAAACAACCAATACACCAAAATGTGCAGAAAATATAAACAAGACTGTGCCTTCAGTAGAATAAATGCTTCACAAATTGTGCAAGATATCATACTAAGGCTGCGGTCTCCCCATGACAGCTGTCTCAAAATATAAACATACATCAACTGCCTGTGTTTCTCAGAACAAACTAGAAAGGGCGGCACACCTAGAAAAAAATCATATAATCCCAGTGATGTGCATATTGATTTTGGGAACCATTGGAGTAAAAAGGAAAAAAGAGGACTAAGTGATCTTTCATGCACTCCCAAATGACTGACCAGAGTTATTGATTCAATTTTCCTTGCTTATTTGCTTCAATGCTAAACAAAATGGAAGATACTAGATAACCCTTTAAGGCAACATGTGTTTATTCTGTATAATTATAACTCTTCAATTATGACTGGATATTGTTGTTAACGTTGCCTAACAGACTGATATCTAGCTTTTTAGAAAATATAAATAAGAGTCTATTAAACTTTATACCAAATCAGCAAAAAACACAGAATACAGTTAAATGTTAGTAATTTCACTGTTAAGGAAAATGGTATTTAGAAAGAGTAATATATTTGGAAAAAAAATTAAATTCGAAATCTGAACAAAAATACTGCTTTGGAATGCTCCTCAAAACTTACTCACAAGGCAAACAGATTTGTAAGTGTGATAATCCAATAATGCATGGCACATCTTTAATCAGTTACAGTACTTGAGTCCCCAGTTTTCAGTCTTTGCAAAATAATAATTGTATGAAATGTTTTAAAGGTCTTCAGATGTCTAAAATTAGTTTTATCAACACATTAACCTCATATCAACTTAATTTATTAAGATGTCCAATGCTAATCTTTCTGATGTTCTTATTTTATGTAGTGATATACACAGCATTTAGCACTGATACTTAGCACCTGCTACTTTCATAATCTAGATTTCAACCACATAAAGGAATTCAGGGCAGTAGTTCAGTCCTTTGTTCTTAATTACAAACCTTCAGCAGTGGTCAGCAGGAACATGTTTAGGTTTAAAACAGGATTAGAGGTGAGCTATTGCAAAGACTGCAGAATGTTGCCCAAATCCTTACAGCTGCTGACATCCCATTCTTGATTTTCTCCTCAAGACATGGCTACAGGCCACAATTGCTTAGCAGAGAATGGTAGTGTTTCACAAGGCTAAAGATTTACAGATGCTCCCTCATATAACACAGTAAGGTTCCCTTGGTAACCTGGATTTTCTGCAGTAAAGAAGGGTTGTGCTGAAACAGCGCCTCAGCTCCCTGTTGGAGAAAATGCAGACAAAAGGATTGATTCCAGCTTGGGCAAAACTCATCCAGACAGCGGCCGTTAGAAATCCCCCAGGTACTACAGGCCCTCTTGCAAAAACTCTCCAGTAACAGGCTACCAAATAGGGACCCCACAAGGTCAGAAAGAGAAATGTCATGATGTAGAACATTCTGCTGATTCTCTTCTCCATTTTGAACTCATCTAAAACCAGTAGCCTCCTCCTGCCCGTGGTGTTCGCATTTTGCCTGATTCCCAACAAGGTTGGAGGTGTGGGACCCCTTCCGAATCCAGCCAGCCAATTGGCAGCTGCTTGACCACTCGCTCCAGGACCATGAAAAGTCCAGTTCTGGCTCACTGCTGCAACAAACTGGACTGGCTTCATTTTCCTGCGATCGTGAACAAAAAATATCAGCTTGAGGTAGACAAGCTGTGTGGCTAGGAGGATAAGGGCAAGAAGAAGCATAAATCCCAAGGAATCATTAGCCCTGAAGGAACGATGCTGGAAAGTGCATTGGTCTTCCTCCCTAATGAACGAGTAGGTGCCCACATCTAAAACTGGGGGGAAAGCCATGGCTACAGAGAGAGTCCAAACCATACAGATAACAGCCAAACAAGTCCAGAAGGTCAGTCTTTTCGTATAAAAACGGTGGTGGGCAATAGCTAAGTATCTTGTGACGCTTATGCAGAATAACATGAAAGCAGTGTGAAAGCAGGACAAAACCCCCAAAAAGGCAATCACCTTGCAAGTAAGAGTCCCATACGTCCAAGTAGAGCCATTTTTCACAGAGGTGAAAACAAATGGGAAACAAATTGCAGATCTGAGGATATCTGAGCAGCAAAGATCCAACAGGAAGTAGTAAGGAGCTCTATGCAAGGTCTTATCTTTGACTAGCAAAATGGAGATCAGAAGGTTACCCACAACACTGACTCCTATTATGAAACCCAGTGAAGTCAGTTTCAGAAAAGCTGTTAAAGGAGAGAGATTTTGTAAAATGTTGTCAGCTGCATGGCTGTAGTTCGCCATAGATGGATGGATGATATGTATATTGCCTCAGTCAAGTCTCATGATCTATATTTAAGAACAAGGAAAAAATAGATCCATACATCTTACTGAAAATGTAATCCACAAACAGAACTGATCTTGTGTCTAGTCATACAGTACATCCTCTTCTTTCTGATTTGTCATGCCATCAAAATATCTGAAAAAAAACGAGCTATCAGTTCTTAAGTTAACACAAAATGATGTCAGAAAGTGCTAACAAAGATGTTAATTTATGGAGAACCAAATGAAGTTGTAAATTTGAGTACTATTGTTTGTTTTTAAAAATCATGAGGCTTTTTTTTAATATACTTACTCTTTAGTATGATTGATTATTGACAGATTTGGCTTATTACAGTTTCCAACTGACCAATGCCCCTTATATTTGGTAGCACATATAATGTCACAGTGAAAGCCTCAGAGATTTTATGAATCAAAAGATTCCCAGTTTGTGAGCCCAAGAGTTAATCACTGACATCTTTTTTAAAATCCCCAAAGACCACTGATATTTTGACATTACCTACATTTATTTTATGTCTACTGTATTTGTCAATGTTTTAAGAGGCAGCTGCTATGTTGATACGGATCACACCCAAAGAAAGCCTGCAGAATTTATGTTTTTTAACCCAAGTCACCAAAGCACATTAAGCACAGTGTTAGTTTATGCATATTGTAAGAGAAGCAGCATTCATGATCCCCCTCCCTTCCTTCTATAAACTATAATTTTATCATTTAGGCTTTTAGATAAACAGGTATCCAGACAGTCGATAGCAGTATGCTTTAGGGTGTCGTTCCCCCCCTCCCCCGCTTTAATGCAAATCGTTAAAGCCTCGACATAATTCATAATAAGCAACGGTCAGTGTAAATACTGAGTAAAAATAGGCAACGCAGCCAAGATTTAATGCCCATCCTTTTGGGAGGGCTAGTTTTGGTTATGCTTAGATAAACATATAAATTGATATTTTTTTTTAGCTAATTAGGGCTCCGCGATTCCCACTAATCCTCCCAGTGAATCCTAGCGGAACACGTTTCATGCAATAAAATAAAATAAAGAACTGTCTGTTGCTGGGGTTTATGGGGGTTTGTTTTTCTTTTTTTCTCCCTCCAGAGCCAGGGACAGGAGCCACAGCAGTCATGATCAGGCTCCTCCGTTATTCACACGAAGTGTTTCCTATGCCACCTCGGGTGTACAAAGGATATTCCCACTGAATCCCAGCAAAAATCCTTCCATTCTTACCGTCCACAAAAGAGCCTGATTGCTGCTGTGTAAACAGAGGCTGATCAGATCATGGCATCGTTTTAAAACCATGAAATCAGGCTCCCCCTCCCCCTCCCGCCAGCCCCGCCGCTCCCCCTCCTCCGTGGATCTGTCCCCGCGGCGGCCGGCCCTGCCTCCGCACACACTCCCGCACGCTGCACACCCGGCGCTCGCTGGCACCCTCACACCGCCGCTGACACACACATACACACTCACGGGCACAGCCGCTCCCCCTCGCCCCGCCATGCAGGGCTGGACTGCGCCGCACTGCAAGGCAGCCCGGGTGCCGCTGCTTGGCATCAGCCGCATCTGCCGGAGCCGTGCGAGAGCCCCCCGCGGCGGGGAGCTGGGGTGAGCGGAAGAGGCATTGTCTGTGAGCGCTTTCATCATGCCGCTTCTTTGGAAATCACCCCCCAGGCCCGCTCCCTGAGCGGGGGAGCCCTCCCCGCACGCACCTGCAGCCGCGGCAGCCCTCGGCGCCCCCAGCCCCTCTCCTCCTACCTGTTGGTGCCGGAGATCCCCACATGCCAGAGCTGCTGCTTGCCGCCGACCGAGGGCTGCTTTATCCTGGCGGTCTTTTCTATTCTCCTCTGCTGTCTTTCATGCTTCTTTCAATCCTTTTCCTTTTTTCCCTTTTTTTTTTTTTTTTTTTTTTTTTTTTTTTTTTTTACCTCGGTACCTTGGCCGAGGATCCAGTCAGTGGCTCTGGCGGCGCATGCTCGCCGCGCCTCCCCCCTGCGCGCCGAGCCCCGTCCTCCCCTGTCGCAGCGCTACAATCTCTCCCAGTAACGCAGCGGCGGCGGCCGTCTCGATGAGGGCACGGCAGCCTCGGAGGCGGCAGCTGCGGCTGTCTCAGTGAGGGCACGGCAACCTCCGCGGCGGCAGCAGCGTCCTCAGTGGTGTTCGGGCAGCCCCGGCGGCAGCAGCAGCCTCCTCAGTGAGGGAAAGGCAGTATCCTCAGTGATGGGAAGGCAGCCTCCTTGGCAGCACGTTCCCATCGCGATGCATAGCCGAGCTGGATTTACTGGCGAGCCTGGGCAAGCCAGTGAGGAAAGGGAGGGGAAGGAATCAGGTCCTGTGCTCCTTGTTTATGCCGCTGGGCTTCCCCTCCCGCCCCATTCGGTTGCAATAGGGGTCTGGAGGCGCCCGCCGCGTTGCGCGTTGCAGCCTGTGTCAGGAGAGGGACCGGGCGGTTTCTTCAGCTGCCGCTGCCTGATCTTTCCGCTCGTGGCTTCTTTTCCTCTCTCCCGATTCCCACCCGGTGAATTCCTTCTTCCTGACCCCCGAGCCAGGCAGGACTCCTTAATAAGTGCCGTTGTTCGTGGAGGGCGCATTCGCCGCGGGGCCGCGAGGACACCGCACCTTCGCCCCCCGCAGCCCGTGGAGCGGCTTCCCGACGCGCAGCCCGAAGCCGGCGCAGAGCCGTCAGCGCTCTCGCTTCATGGCGGCGGGGATGGATCCGATGTTAGCCCGTTCCGTCCGCGGCAGGGCCGGCGTTCCCCCTGGGCGCGCAGGGCGGCAGCGGCGGCCGCCGCGGAGGAGCGCCCGCCCGAACCGGCGGCCGGCGGGGATCGATCCCGAGCCGTCCCGATGATGTCATGCGGGCCGGGGGGCCGAGGCGGCGGCGCTGGGAGGCGGCGGGCTGTGGCCTGGGCCGCCGCAGGGGCCTCCCGCCGGCCCCCGCACCCGCTGGTGCCACCGCTGTAAAACCAGGAGGGAGCGGGAAGGATTTGGATAAGGCTTGAAAGAGCACGTTCCTCCGCCCTCCCGCCTCTTCGGTTTGTGTGGAAGTTTATCCGGGAGAAGTGGGAACATGAAAGCCGTGCCCCAAGAGTAATTCGCTTTGACTGCAAGGCAGTTGAGGAACAGCTTGTTTTGGGTCGAGAGATTTGGATCCTGAGGAACTTCTTCACTGGGAGCTTCTGTTCAAGGCAGAATAAATCCTTCTGGGGGACAGATTTATGGGGTTGATTCATAATGTGTGTCACATCTATGAGACCGTTAGTAGACTACAGGCATTTTTTAAGGCTGTTGTCAAGTTTGGGTTCTTTTTTTGGCACTTACTAAAAGGCATTGGAATTGGTGGCCAAACCACAAAAGCAACTTCAGTAACAGTCTGACCAAGCCCAGAGGTCTGCAGCCACTGGAAAATACAGTTATTTAAAATCAACATAGCATGTGACTTGTTTCAGCTAAAATTTATTCTTAGGCAGAAAACCCACACAAAGCTCAGGTACCACACAATTTTTTATTTTTTTCTGTTAATGTAATTATGACAACTTCATGTTGGTGCTCATCTTTGGCGTGGTAGGTGTTGGATGGTTATTAAAGCTACTAATTCAACATGCACTTTTCATGTCCCAGTCATGTAAGCTAAGCAGACCTCTCCAGCTATCCTTTTTCTCTTGTTAAATATAGGTACCCACAGTGACATAGACCATGACTTTTAAAGTAATTCTTAAAATGTGAAGGGCAAGTAGCTAAGGCAGCAAGAGCAGGCACTTTAATAGTCTGTCTAATATAGCAAAGAATTCTCTAAAAGCCATGCATGAAAATGAAACATTTGCAATGCAAGATTAGGAAGATTTATAATATGTGCTACAGGATGACTGTATGGTCATGGTCAGGGCCTATTGTTGCACTCTGATATATGTTTTTTTGTTAAGAGTAAACAATACAATGTGATCATCATCGTAATAAAATAGATTCAGCGCAGTAGGTTTTAACCTTTTCTGTCTGTGCTTTCTTAGAGTTGTCACAGAATTTTATTGCATTATAACATTTTAAAACTTGCTTTCCTTTTAGACCTGTCACAGACTGCTTAGAAGTAATCTGTGGACTTCAGAATTCATTCAGAATTTAACCACCAGTTCAGCATTAATTCATTTGTCATCATAGGTGTAACCTGAGAATCAGTGCTCTAATTTTGTTCAACAAAATGTAGACATCCAGACTGAAGTGACAGCTAGTTTTCTGTCATAGTCAATGTCGAAGAAGACATGCATTAGAGAGCAGATCATCTGACTCACAAGTCTAAAAGCCATCCTATGGCTTGAACTTTATTCTTTTATTGTAAGAGTAAAGACAGGCAAGAGAAACTGTTGCTACAAAGTAAGAGATTTCTGGTGGAGTGAGGTATTGCTGTGTTAAGCTGTTGCGCCAGGAGCAGGTCACATCCTCCATGGAGGGAAAAAAATCCAGAAGTCATGGGGCTGGGAATCTGGGAGGCGAAGGCAGATGCTAACAAAGATGGCTCCATGAAGCAAGAACCTGGAAATGAATGTGCAATTGGAAGGTGTGGAGAAGAAGAGATCTGTAACGACAGGTGAAGAGGTCTGTGCTGACTAGTTCTTCAAAACAGCTGTGCTAGAGACATGAAAGGTTCAGAAAAAAAAAAGTGAGGCAGCCCTTGTTTGCAAAGTGAGTGGATTAGGGGTAGCAAAGAAGAATTTCTTGGGGCTTTGGCAAAAGGAAGGATCCTGGATCCTGAATAAATTGCCCACCACACAATATAAGGGAGGCAACACTAAGGGCAACAAGAAGGAGGTTCAAAAACACAGGGGACCTGTGTCCCATACAGGCATCTCAGAAGAAAGAAGTGATTACTCTCAGGGAAGTAAATATCTTTCCCTACCTTTTCTGTTTGTTAGTTTGAGGTTTTTTGTTTGTTTGCTTGTTTGTTTTACTTACATACTGCTGTTTCCCAAGAAGGAAGGGTAAAAGGAGAGAGTGTAAGAGAAGTGTGAGTAAAGCATACACAAGAGTGTTGATGTGCCCATTAGAGCTATCAGCACACTGATCAGAGCTTTCATGAGAAAATGAGAGACCCAAGATTATTTCCCTGATTTTCTGAATTAGATCAAAGATGCGAACCATCACCAGGTTTGGACAACTCTGCTGCAAAGTTCTTGACGGTTATGGTACGGAACTCTTTCATTTAGTCCTGTTGGAGTTATTTAATAATCATGGTCAAGAAAGTAACTGGTGAAATACTCAGCTTTGTTGCTGATGACTGAGGATCCTGTATTGAAGTTGTTTTGTTTTTTTTCCAATTTAAATACTGTTTAAGAATGACCAAGGAGCTGTGTCTAGTGAATTGGATGCACTAGGTCCATTCACAGATCAAGATCATCTTATTGGAGAGCCCTACTTTGTTATTCTCAGTCTTTGGCATAACCTGCAGATCTGGGCAGCTCATTCCCACGAGGTGGTAGTGATGCTTAGGTGCATGTGGCCAAGGTGCCAGGAATTTGGGTGCTGGGGTGGGAGACAGGAGAATACAGAAGAATTTTGTTGACATGTAAGTAGCATTTGGAGTACTTGCCACCTGATTTCTTTTGAGGATATGTGCCCTGAAACCCTATACCACAATTGTGAGCCAGTTGAGGATGCAGGGTGATTCTCATTGTTTTGAACTTTTTCCTCAGAATGGGAGAGGTTTCTGAGAAGTCTGACACAGAGAAATTTCACTAATAGAGTCTGAGGTAGAGATAGGGCTAGAAGACAGGCTAGTGATGACAAGTAACTATCAGTTGAAAAGATGAGGTGAGATATTGGCCTCACCAAGGTCAGTAACATCTCTCAACTATTTCAGTGGGATGAGGATTTCAGCATGGGGCCAGCAGTTGTGAATACCTAAACATAAAGTATTCATGTCCCTTTTGTCTTGACCATTTCAGTAACTAATGTGTTTACACACTGTCTTGAAGTTTGTATATATGCAATGTCAATCCAGTCTGCATAATGCAAACTCTGAAGCATTGTAGGTTTTCCAAGATTTCTGCAAAACAGGAGAGATAATCTGCAAGGTGTGCCCACTCCTGTGCAGAGGCCAGCACAAGATTTATTGCTTAAGAGACTATGATTGATGCTATCGAAGTACATCCTTTTCAAAGGACTCAAGGAATTCTTCCAAGAGAAATTTCTTGCCTGTGCAGTAGATTTGTGCAACTTTGGAGTAGTATTTAAGTAGGACTTGTATAACATGAAGACCTGTGCAGGACCCCTGCACAATAGAGAATTTCACCTGCAATATATTTGGTTCCTGTCCTTGGTAAATTGTTTTCAGAGCAAAGACATTTGTTGGCAGTGTCTGCCTCCTGGGTTGGCTCTCAGCACAGATGTAAATTTCACCCATACTGAAAATCTCTCTAGTGGTCTCCGCTCAGTGATGCGTGTTTTCACCTATAACAAAATTATGTTCATGTGACTAGAACAATTCTTATGGATAATAATTGTATTTTTTAAATGTTAATATTCAGCCAGATCCTCAGATGTTTTATAAATATTTCTCAAGAACACAATTCAGTATGTTAAAAAAATATTTCATAATTACCTTTTGATACTTAATTTTTATTCTTAAAAATAGATCTATGTTGCATGTTTACACAGGGGGAAATTAAGGTTTAAGTACAAATACGCATATGCTTATTAGCTGAGCATATGAAAAAGGCTTTGTCCTTCAGAGGAAAACTTCTCTATGTTTCTCTAATGGGAGTGAGGCACCAATATGCTTCTGAAAATCCCTTTAGATACTTTCCTGTATCCTCAGGCTTTTAAACACCTTTTACGAGTTTGTTCATTAGGACTACCTTTGAAAGACTGGACACATGTTTTGCATCTGTTTTGTAGATACAGTGTTAAACTGTCGTGCAATTTAGGTAGTGTGGACTGACTTCACTTGCATATCAGGTAGTTAGAAATGCAAATGAACTTAACTGTAGCCATGAGTAATTATCAATGTTAAATTGCACTGCTAATTACTTGTGCCTGGAAAAAGATAAGATAAATTTTTAAATTGCTGGACTTCACAAATGGTGGTTTTACATATATAATTTAGAGGGAAAAAGAGAAAAGAGAGTGTTAGAGAGTCAAGTGTCCGTATGTGGTCTCTGTTGTTTGTGCACCATATATATGTTGCCCTGTGCTGAAAAATTACCAAAGTGCTTGCTTTCACAACCAAGGAAGAGTGATAACGATTCACTTAAAAGAGACAGAGCCAGTCACATCTACAGAGATGCAAATCGGTGACTGAGCTCCAGAGAAGGAAAAAACCAAGGAACTTAACAGTATCTGAAGTAGTAGTTCCAAGTAGATACATTTGTTGAGATAATATTTTTGAATGGTTGAGAATAGTTGAGACTATTTCTCTAATATTGTTATCTTGGATCTCTCGATATAAATCATATTTATAAATAATGTAATATTCAAAATTTAATCTTTAATTTGTTTAGCTCAAGTTTTGGGTTGTTTCATTGTTTGTTTTTGTTTTTTTTAATAGCAGAGGGTAAGCACTGCCTTGTATTCCTGTATAACAAATCTTTTAATGTGAATTATTCTGAACTTGCAGTGTTAGTGGGAAGTATTGAAATTCTTATTCTAGTTTTTAGTTAATATGGGCAGCACTGTAGAAACACCTCAGTAACAGTGTCTA